TTGTGCAACCACCATCGAAGTCCATTCCCAGAGCTCTTCTCATTTTGTAAAACTGAAACTCTGTTTTCATTCAAGGCTAACTTCCCACTCTGCCTTTTTCCCAGCTCCTGGCAACCACCACTCTACTGGGTCTTGGTGATTTTGACTAAGTACCTCATATAAGTAGAATAATATCATATTTGTCTTTTGTGACTGGCTGATTTCAGTTGGTGGAGTGTTCTGAAGGTTCATCCATGTTGTAGTGTGAGTCAGAATTTCCCTCCTTTTTTTTTTTTAAATTTTTATTTATTTATGATAGTCACAGAGAGAGAGAGAGAGAGAGAGAGAGAGAGAGAAAGAGGCAGAGACACAGGCAGAGGGAGAAGCAGGCTCCATGCACCGGGAGCCCGATGTGGGATTCAATCCCTGGTCTCCAGGATTGTGCCCTGGGCCAAAGGCAGGCGCCAAACCACTGCGCCACCCAGGGATCCCCCTCCTTTTTTTTTTTTTTAATTTTTTTTAATTTCCCTCTTTCTTAAGGCTGAATACTACTTCATCGTGTGTGTGTGTATCACATTATTCATGACACCTACTTTTTTTTATTTTTTTATTTTTTTTATTTATTTATGATAGTCACAGAGAGAGAGAGAGAGAGAGAGGCAGAGACACAGGCAGAGGGAGAAGCAGGCTCCATGTACCGGGAGCCTGACGTGGGATCCGATCCCGGGTCTCCAGGATTGAGCCCTGGGCCAAAGGCAGGCGCTAAACTGCTGCGCCACCCAGGGATCCCCATGACACCTACTGATGGACACCTGGGTTGCTTCCACATTTTAGCTATTGTGAATAGAGCTGCCAGAAACATGAGGGTACACATATCTCTTCAAGACTCTGCTTTCGGGGCACCTGGGTGGCTCAGTGGTTGAGCCCGATGTGGGACCTTTGGCTCAGGTCCCACATCGGGCTCCCTGTGGGGAGCCTGCTTCTCCTTCTGCCTGTGTCTCTGCCTCTTTGTGTCTCTCATGAATAAATAAGTAAAATCTCTCAATTCTTTTGGGTTTAGACACAGAGGTGGAATTGCTGGATCATATGCATTTTTAATTTTTTGAGGAACTGCCATACAGTTTCTATAGTGGCTGTGCCATTTACATTTCCCCCTAATGGTGCCTGAGGGTTCCACTTTCTCCACATTTACTGATACTTCTTTTTTCTCTTCTTTTATTCCTTCCTTCCTATTTATTTATTTAAATATTTTATTTATTTATTTGAGAAAGAACGAGCAAGAGAGAACATGAGCAGGGGGAGGGACAGAGGAACAGAGAATAGCAGATTCCCCACCAAGCAGGGAGCCCAACGTGGGGCTGGATCCCAGGACCTTGGGATCATGACCTTAGCTGAAGGCAGATGCTTAACCTACTGAGCCACCCAGGCACCCTTGCTATTTAGTTCTTATAGAAACTGGGTTGTTTGTGCTGTAGGGCTTCCCATAGCCTGATGATGCTGATTGCCCCCTGAAGTGCTGCCACATTCCCCTGCCCCTATACTTTTAGATCCCAATGTTTGACCACAGGGGCTCCTGGCTGGCTCAGCTGGTAGAGTATGTGACTCTTGATCTTGGGGTTGTGAGTTTGAGCCCCACACTGGGTGTAGAAATTACTTTAAAAAATAAAATATTAGGGAATCCCTGGGTGGCTCAGTGGTTTAGTACCCAGGGTGTGATCCTGGGGTCCCAGGATCGAGTCCCACGTCAGGCTCCCTGCATGGAGCCTCCTTCTCCTTCTGCCTGTGTATCTGCCTCTCTCTCTCTCTCTCTCTCTCTCTCTGTGTCTTTCATGAATAAATAAATAAAAATATTTTTAAAAAATAAAATATTAAAAAAATAAATGTTTGATCACATCTGGGTATGATTTTTTTGGGGGAAGAGTCTGCCCTAGGTAATGGTGTGCATATCAGTGGGCAAGTATATAATGTCTGGTGGTGTCTCTTTGGTGGTGCTGCAAAGTCATTGACAATCATTGCTTTGCTCCATTAACTCACTAGGAGTTCCAAAATAGTGATACTCTTCTATTTTGTCGTTCCTTTTTTTTTTTTAAGTTTTATTTATTTATGATAGAGAGAGAGAGAGAGAGGCAGAGACATAGGCAGAGAGAGAAGCAGGCTCCATGCACCGGGAGCCCGATGTGGGATTCGATCCCGGGTCTCCAGGATCGCGCCCTGGGCCAAAGGCAGGCGCCAAACCGCTGCGCCACCCAGGGATCCCTGTCATTCCTTTTTTATCATTATTTGGAATGCTTTTATAAGGAAGACCTTCCCTCCTCACAAACTATTTGGTTGCTCTGAATATAGGAAAGGTAAAAATTATTGTTTTTCTTTATTTACCAGTTTCTGAAATAGTATGCTGGTTCCTCTAAAGGCGACTAACCACTGAGGTGCTTTGTTTTGCCTTTTATTTATTTATTTATTTATTTATTTATTTATTTATTTATTTATTTATGATAGTCACACAGAGAGAGAGAGAGGCAGAGACACAGGCAGAGGCTCCATGCACCGGGAGCCCGACGTGGGATTCGATCCCGGGTCTCCAGGATCGCGCCCTGGGCCAAAGGCAGGCGCCAAACCGCTGCGCCACCCAGGGATCCCGACTACAAGGTTTTTATTGACCTATTCTTACTTCTGTTATTTTCTTTCTTCTATCCCCTAAATACCAGTTCTCAGTGACACCAACATAAGTCATGACGTGTTTCATTCATTAGGATATACACAACAGTCTCAAAAGAACCATGCCAACACTACAACCATGAATATATCTGAGTAGGCATGTGCAGTGAAATTAACATGTTTGAAGTGTCCTGGAATAGCGGCTCTCTGTGACATTACACCATCACTGTAACACACACACAGTGGGTGATCTTTTCTTCATTGGATTTCTGACTTTTAAGGAATGCTTTTCAATTTTTTTTGAATTTCATTCTGCTTCATAATTGTGCAAAGTATTTGGTGATTCCAAAATTTTATGTGGTTCCAAAATCAAATCTACATTCAAGGAAATGTAGGTTCTTTTTTTTTTTTTTTAAAGATTTTATTTATTTATTCATGAGAGACACAGAGAGCGAGGCAGAGACACAGGCAGAGGGAGAAGCAGGCAGAGAGAGACGAGATCCCAGATCCCAGATCTCCAGGATCAGGCCCTGGGCTGAAGGCGGGGCTAAACCGCTGAGCCACCCGGGCTGCCTGGAAACGTAGGTTCTATAATCAATCACCCCTTCAGATCTACTGTTTCCCCACTTCCATTGTCATCCCACTATTGCTTTTCTTTTAAAGATAGAAGCAACTACATGGATATATTTGTATTTCTCCTGTTTTTAAATGGTGGCATACTATACACTTTCCTCTGTGTTCCTTTTTTCACTTACTCATGTATCCTAGAGATTACCATTTTACTACATAAAGAGCCCTCATTTCTTTATACAGAAACACAGAAATGTGTAGAGGTATATTTCCTTTTTTCTTTTTTTTTTTTTTTTTTTTGGTAAATCTGGATCTTACTGCACATAGAATTGTGCATCTTCCTTTTCATTAAGCATCTCATTAAATATTAAGCATTTACCCTACAAAAATTGTTTTTTAATGACTGCATAGTATTTATATGCATATCGTTGCATACAAAAGCACAAAATTCATTTAAAAAATTCTTTGAAATGTTTTGCTTCAACCAGTGGATCTTGAAGCCTTTTCTGTAAGATTTATAAGCTAGTTGCTATGGCCACATCTATTTTCTGGCATATTCTTCTCTCTGAAATTTCCTGAGACTCCAGAGAAGAAAGAAACAGAGCTCTCTCCCTGCTTTACAAAGGAGAAATTTACACCCAATTTTCTCTCCTAGTATCCTTCCCCTGCCTCTGAGTGGTCTCAAGCCTCCTGGGAAATCTGAATTCTCTACTTGTCATAAAAAAAAAAGTTAAAGATCTTGTCTTAAAGAATCAAGCTAAAAAAAAAAAGAATCAAGCTAAAGATTTGCTAGTGGAGGCTTAAAAGAACTATATTGTTAAGTGCCTTCTCTAGCTTTTTCAACTCATTGGACATTTTAGGAATTGTGAAGGCATAAGGATAGCGAAAGTAAAAAAAAATATTTATAATTATTAAAGCACAGTTTATTTTTTCATTTTAAAATATTTACTAAAATTTATTTATTTATTTATTTATTTATTTATTTATTTATTTATTTATTTATTTATTTAGAGTGCAAGTGGTGGGAGGGGCAGAGAAAGAGGGAGAGAGAATCTCGAGCAGACTCTGTGCTGGGCTCGATGAGGCTCGATCAATGAGGCTCCATCTCATTACATTGTAATCATGACCTGAGCCAAAACTGTCAGCCAGTTGAGCCAACCAGGTGCCCCTAAAGCACATTTTAAAAGACAGTTTTGCAAGCATTTCCAGGAGAGATTTGATTTTTTTTAAATTTTTATTTATTCATGAGAGACAGAGAGAGAAAGAGAGAGAGAGAAGGAGGCAGAAACATAGGCAGAGGGAGAAGCAGGCTCCATGCAGGGAGCCCGACATGGGACTTGACCCCGGATCTCCAGGATCAGGCCCTGGCTGAAGGCGGCGCTAAACCGCTGAGCCACCCGGGCTGCCCTCCAGGAGAGATTTTAAAATAAATTTTTGGGCCACTAAAATTACTCAAAATATTTTAATGATATAAGGTAATTTTAAAATTTAAAAACTTAGTTTGGGATCCATTAAAGTGATAACAAAACACAATAATATTAATTCATGTGATGAAATGAGAATGGTAACAGGAAGTTTTGTTAATGAATAGTGTAGAGATTTTTCTAGTTACAGCACATACTCATCAGGCTGTGAACTCATCCCAGTAATTTCAGATCCTCTATCTATTCATATGGTTGTAGCGAAAAGTTAATTTGAGAAACATTCCTAAAGTTAAATAATATAAAGAATAGCTCTGATATTTTGGGAAGCAGAATTTCACAGATTTTGTTACATTTTTGCTTTAAAAGAAGTACCTTAAGTTTTTGTTGAAGGTGTTTTATTTCCATTTGCAGAGTCTTTGTAGCTGCTTGAGCTGCTAACATCTTCCCATTCTCATTGGCCAGCTGTCGATTAAAGGCTCTATTGTTCAACCTCAATTGTTTCTCCAAGCTCTGAAAACAGGATATATTTCAAGTATTCTGTAACCAATGTAGTATTGTTAAAAGACTTCAATTATAATGGAACTAATTGCATTTATGAGAAGTGTGAATTTTTGATATAATTTTAGTGCAAGGCTGCTACAGGGGACATATATTAGAACTAAGTAGAACCACACATACAGACACAAAAGCCAAAGACCCCCAGATCCCAGCTCTAGAGAATCAATATGTTTTGAACCAAATGTTTTTTACACTCTGAAATTTGATTTCACAAACAACCTTTGAACAGTTTATTATTAAAATGTTATTTTTAATGTCATAATTATTAATTATGAAAAATAACACCATGTTTTAAAACTCAACCCAAGTGGCTGTGCCTACACGAGGATCTGCTAATGTGGCAGGTGCACTCAGAGGGCTGCCCAGCAGCTGGGGGCTGTCCAGCAGCAGGGCAGCCATGCAGGCGTGAGTATCAGCTGATTGACCCTGGAAGCTCCTGCAAGGATTTACCCCACTCCCCGAAGGAGGAAGAGGAAGGAATTCTAAGACCAGGAGACTTCTGTTAGCACCGTGGCCCTCTGCACCCAGGGCTCACTGGCGTGAGGGAACCTCCTCTCCATCCTCTCCAACAGGGGAGTATTTTTTTAAATATTTTATTTATTCATGAGACACAGAGAGAGACAGAGAGACATAGGCAGAGGGAGAAGCAGGCTCTCTGAGGGGAGACCAATGTGGGACTCGATCCCAGGACCCCGGCGTCCTGAGCCGAAGGCAGATGCTCCACCATGGAGCCACCCAGGTGTCCCCAGCATGAGGATTTTACTGCAGAACTCTCTGGTCTGGACTTTGACAGAGGCTTGGCCGAAAGCTCCCCGCCTCTCATTATAGTATTAATACTTTCTCATTAAAGAAAAGTAGGCAATATGGCAAGGTAGAAGGATGAAATAATCACTAAAAATCCCTCCCCAAACAGCATTAAAAAAAAAAAACAAACCTATATGTTTTGGCTCATAAACATTTTCTCCCTCCACCAAATGCCCTTCAACCAAACAAAACTTCCCATACAACCAAGTGCATCTGATAAGAAAATAGTTCTTGAATTCTTGTTGGTTTTGGTTACAGGTATAAAATATGAACTAACTTAACATGTATATGTAAAAAATATGTAGATGAGATAAAAATACATTTACTTTTCCCTGACAAAAGTGCTAAGGTGGGCCTAATATTACCTAGGAGGCCAAATGATAGAATTTCAGTATATGAATTATATGATGGCATATGGAGCTGCTCATCATTTTCTGGAGCTCACACATCGATTTTATGTGAGAAAATTCTCTTTGAAAATGGAGGATTTTACCAAAGAGGAAATAATAAGGACTTTCACTTCTGTGAAAAAAAAAAAAGTGAATGAGATGAACGTGATATTTTATTATTTCAAGTTCATAAAAAATTGCCTTTTACCATCATATAATGAGGCATTAAGCAGTAAATTTAAATTTATGTTTGTCCATAGAGAGTAAGAACTAACATAAAATCGGCAGAATTCTCAGTATAATCAGGGTGCTCTCCCAAACCATCCCTCATAGTGCAGTCCCCAAACCTTGACAACCATGTGCCTGCCATTCAGGAAGATCGACAAATTTGTTTCAATGATTTTAGTTCCTTTCTGCTCTTCTGTTTCCAGGAGCATCATCCGGGAAACCCTTCTGTTTCTAACATACCAACAATGTCTGTGTGGTGGTGACTAGACAACTGACCAGAGGAAAAGGGTGGGAGAGATGCAGGGGGCAGGCTTTTAGGGAAGTAGGCTTTTAATAAACAGTTTGAAGTAGGACATTAGCTTCTAAAAGGTTTCATTCAACCCAACCCAACCCAACCCAACCCAACCCCACCCCACCCAACACAACCAGCACAATCTTTCCAGCACACAAACAGGCTTAGAGAATGGTCATTTCTAGACAAATGTGCCCAGCTACAGAATGAGCTCACTTGACCATAGAAGGAACATCTCCCCTCCCGCCTTTCCCCTTTAGACAGCATCACTGGCGTGTCCTGTAAGCAAAGCAGCTGGTGATGCTTCACTGCACAGGGGCAAGTGTGATGCATGTATACCCTCTCTGTGACCAGTTTGGAACATTACAATTTCTAGGCCTCTGAAGTACGGACCTGTATTTTTTTGTCATTTGCCTCCATTTTTGTTGTAAGAACCGACAATCTTTGAGTAAGTTCCTCCCTCTCTGCAAGATTTTTGTCTTCGGAAAGCTTCTGCAGTGCCTGTAAGGCATCTTTAGTCTTCAGCAGCTCACTATCAGCTTCTCGAAGTTTCCTAGATGCACTTCTTTCCTTTTCCTGGGACTTCCTAAGTAGCTGCCTCAAATTTTTGACTTCGCTCTGATGTTTTGCCATAATTTGAGGTAGATTATTTTGTGAATTCTCATACTTCCCTATAGCTTTCAAGTGCCTAAGCTGAAGGTGTTTCAAAAATTGGTTTTCTATGACCGTGGCTTCCAATTTACGATGTGTATCACCTAGTTCGTTTTTTAGCTCCTTAATCTTATGAAGCCTTGCTGAGAGTATGCGATGAGTCATAGCATCTCTTCTTTGGGTAATCGTATTGTTTTGCGAACTTAAAAGTGGTGCATTCCAGTTGTGCTTTTTTTCAATTGAGATTTCCTTCTTGCCTGTGTAAGCAGATAATCCAGTTCATTACTAATAATATGCATATGGATATGCAGATGTGCACGTATGTGTTACCCCTAGCCCCAGCCCACACCCATGCACACGTACACAGGCAAACTAGAAGGAGAAAGAACATGTAATAAATAGCCATGTTCCAGGGTAGGGACTTCATATGCAAAATACCTCATTTCAGATCAGCAGTAGTTTATTTAACATCTGAAGATTGTAAGCCATTTGTCCAAGGTTCTATAACCACAAAGTAACACAGACTGGATTGAAAACAAGATTTTCTTTAGGCTGGAAAACCTGTACTTATTTCTATTATTAAAGCTTTACTAAACACCATAATAATCTATGACATTTACTAAGGACTTATGTGTTAAGCATTGAACTAAATGCTTTATGTAGATTATCTGATATAATCCTTCCAAAAATATGCTATGAGGCAATTCAAGGGTCACCTTAGCATCTAGTGATGTATATGAAGATCTCATATATTCAAAAAGACCTTTAGAAGGCTTAGAGGAAATAGACTGGTGTTCCATCTCTCAGTAAAGCCAACATAGACAATTTTTCCTGTTACTTTGGGCTTTAGAGGAAGTAGTTAGTTGGCTTGTATTCCTAAATCTGTTTTAAACAAAATGTATCTAAATATTATCCCCAGCTTACAAGCATCAAGCTTATATAACTAAATTCAGTATGTCAGATGTATATTTAGCACCACTGCATTGTTATCCCTTTTTAAAAATGAGCACACTGATACTTAGTGAAGTCACTTACTGATGGGCACACAGCTAGTAAGTGGTGAGACAGAAACCAGGTCCCATATGTATGACCATTTGCACGACATTTTTGTACATATATGTGCACACTGCATATGTGTGTGTACATATTATTATATCTATATTCTGAGAGAGTTTGAAACTAGATTCTAGAGTCTAACAACAAACAAACAAACCAAAGTCTTCATCCTGGAGAGAGAAAATACTTAGTGAACAATGTCCCTGGAGTCCTAACTTTAAGCTATTGGCCCTAGTGTGGACACATCATCTGAGACTTGGCTTAACATGTTTGGTATAGGTGGTGGAAAAGGTGATGGAAATGAGCCAATGGAAATTGAGGATGCTTTTGGGGATAAAGCATTTCAAGCATGACTATGACGGACCACATAGGAGTGACGATCATGGTGTCTGTGTCACAACAATAATTGAAGGGCTGTCTTTACAACCTCCAAAGGTCTTTTCCCATTGGGAATGATTTAGTAAGGGCTCTGGTTAGATATTTGAGTATTTTGGAATAGGTTTTTGAGCACATTGGAAATAGGAAAGCAGAGGTCTCTAGGACACTAGAAGGCCAGGCACTTTAATACCTTGGGCGCTGGCTAGGGGAGTCCCAGACCCAGGCAGTGTGGATCAGGCTGGATTAAAACAGGGGAGGGGATCCTTGGGTGACTCAGCGATTTAGTGCCTGCCTTCGGCCCAGGGCATGATCCTGGAGTCCCAGGATTGAGTCCCACATCAGGTTCCCTGCACGGAGCTTGCTTCTCCCTCTGCATGTGTCTCTGCCTCTCTCCGTGTGTCTCTCATGAGTAAATAAATAAAATCTTAAAAAAATAAAACAGGGGTGGATGGGGACTGTCATGTCCTATACCATATCCAGCATGACTGCAACTTGACTCCCAACTTATAAGGTTCTACAGCTCTTGGGTGGTGTGACCCGGAGGAGAGAGGGGTTTCCCTGGGACTAGAAGATGAAGGGTGGTGGGTTCTGTGGGCGGTGGAGGCTTGTTCCTGACTTCTACTGTGCTCAAGTGATGGGAAGGCAGAGTCAGCATGAGTAGGTGCCTGGGACTAATCCTTGTGGCCATGGGAGCACTGGCCAAGGCCCCAGGATGAAGTGTGTGTACAGGGCGTAGGTACTTTGAAAAACAAACAGGAGGTGTCAGCCTTTTCGTGATCACATGTGCTTGGACAAGGAACATATAACTGGTAAGAATGAAGGACCAGAAGCCCTTCCCCAAGTGTTCTTGTCTGTGTAAGGCCATCCACACCCCCTCTGTTCCCCAAACATGCCTGAGATTGAATTTTTTGCCTACCTTAGTGGGTGCTTGGGAGGTGGATGAGCCAGACTTGTTTGCTTCAGAAGATAAATATACCACTTGTATTTGAGTGATATAGAATAAATTCATACTGTACACATTATGCATACTTGTATACTAATCAAGGTTATGGAAAGTTGAAACAGGGTTTAGTCCTTAATGATTTTGTATCTCATTATACTAACCTACACATACAGAGGATGATAAAATTTTTTCTTCCTCTTTCTTTCTTTCTTTCTTTCTTTCTTTCTTTCTTTCTTTCTTTCTTTCTTTCTTCTTTCTTCTTTCTTTCTCTCTCTCTCTTTTTCCTTTCCTTTCCTTTCCTTTCCTTTCCTTTCCTTTCCTTTCCTTTCCTTTCCTTTCCTTTCCTTTCCTTTCCTTTCCTTTCCTTTCCTTTCCTTTCCTTTCCTTTCCTTTCCGTGTATTATTAATTTCAGGGGTAGAATTTAGTGATTCATCAGTTGCATAGAACACCCAGTACTCATTATGTGCCCTCCTTAGTGCCCATCACCCAGTTACCCCATCCCTCACCCATGTCCCCTTCAGCAACCCTCAGTTTGTTTCCTAGAGTTAAGTGTCTCTTACAATTTCTCATTTTATATTATAAGGCAGATTTAGCCTAATGATTAATCTACTCTTAATGATGTGACTAAATTAATTTTGGTTGCACCAAAATTAATTGGTCCAAATTTATGACCAGGTAGTATGACCAAATTATGACCACAATAAATATTTGTGGAATAAATGAGGAATCAGTTTTTAAAAGTTAAATTATCAGGTACTTAGAACTCAAAGTGCAGTTCCTACAGAAACAGTTGTATAAATGCTAACTGCCTTTCATACAGGCCCACAAAAGTGTAGAATTAATATAAGATGTATAGAGACATGATCCCTCTCATAAAACACTGGGGCCAGACTGTTTCTGAATGATTATTATTATTTTGGGGCATATACAGTATTTTCCATAGTACTCCCAGTAGGGTTGGGGACAGCCCACTTTAACCAAAGAATATTTTTGTGAAATATAGGACTATTCCTACTAAGTGAAGTAAATAAAAATCAGCCTCATGTTAGTTAAAGTCAGGTTTTTGTTGCCCAATCAGTTTAGGTGCCAAAGACAAAGAAAATTTTTGGTTTTCAGTGTTTTGTAAATTACAGATGTGGATAAGGGACTGTAACCACGAAGCCTAACCATGATGTGGGTTCTGTCGTGATGATCTTTCAAATGCCACTACTAACAGATTTCTTTTGACAGAATCCCGGGTGAGAGAAGGAACTGGACTTTTCATCTCCTACCCTGGGCCTTGCCCATGAGTGTCAGGCTCTCACCTCTCTAGGAAAGGGGCTTTTAGCCTTTTGACAATTTGTTGGAAGCTCATGGGTCTTTCTCCTTAGAAAAGTTCACAAATGCAAATAGATAAAAGCAAAGATTTTCATGGGGTCCACAGACATGGGTCTTAGATTAAGAATCCCTACCCTACAACTAGGAAGAAGGGGACTTGAAGATTCTAGATGATCCAAAAGTAGCATAGGGAGTCCTAGGTACACCTGGTCACTCAAGGCTGGGGGTGGGGGTAGGAGATATGGGGTAAACATGACAGTAAGGCAGGTTCCACATATACTGTTACGTAGTTAAGTATTTTCCAACTGTTGACTGATGGTGGTTCTGGTGGTCACAGTGGAAGAAAGTTTCAGCTATTTCTAGATTAGGGATACTTATAAGTTTAGGATTGCCTAAAATGGGAGCAAGTCATCATGGTCCGGGCAGGAAGGCAGGGAATGAGATCAAGGGTGTCACAAGGCTCCTTCCAGTTTGGACAGTTACGGAGCGATGGTGTTGGTACTCTCACAGTCCATGAGGGAATGATATTATTAACAGCCTCTTGAACCACCCCTGTTTCAAAGGATGATCTTTGCCTCACCGGACTTGGAGCCCCTCTTCTTGGGGTGTTGAAACCGGTTTTTACATTTCATTGGCAGTTCAAACCTTGATTCTTCAGCTGAGATGAAAGGCAAGTAGCCAGTGAGATCCAAGTATCGTGGTACTCTGTAATGAGGCCACCTGTTAACTAAAAACGGAACCAACCTCACTAGTAGGCTCCCAGGAGGATAGGTTGTGCAAGAAGGCTAGGCTCTACATTTTCAGCCTAACTTCCTGCCAGCTTGTCACTATTCTTAATTTCTCTATTACCTCATTTCTTCTATAAAAGTTCACTTATATATATATACACACATTTAAAATATGGGAGGACAATAAAACTAAATGTGGACTACTTCAAATACGAGTGCATTAAATAATAATGTCATTAGAAACAGAAATTTGGTCTTCCTTGGGAAATATTGTTTCTTACCTTTAGATTGGGAGATTTTAGAAACATACTGTTTCTTCTTGTCCGTTTCTTTTATCGCAGGCTTCTCTAAATAATTTCTATTAAGAGCAGTTTCCGAACATTCAGAGAGAAAGTCTTCTGAGTAATCACAGCAGGAACTTAAACTTCTACAGGAACACTGAGATCTGCTATAGTCAACACTCCTGTCGGAGGCACACCTGGAACTGCCCCTGGGACAGTCACCTGCACCCAGGCTGCTCTCACTCTCTGCGGCCATCCTACTGGGTCCTAATGCCACACTGGGGAGGTGCCCGGCTATGTCTGTTTCTGCTGGACCAGCCAGAGACATAGTTAACAACCTGACAGAAGAAAAGTATTTTTAGATGTATAGCTACTGACATTAAAATGAACGTATGCTTTAGTATATTTAACTATAAATGAAGGATTAGGAAAAGGAAGCAACACATTCTATTGAAGTTATTTTCCAGAAAAATCTCAATTTGGTTTTTATGTTTTTTTTTTTTTTTTCCACATAAGATATGGGACTCCTGAGACCAAACTTTGGTGAGATGAAACTCACAGATAATGTAAGATAAAGTTCACATCTGAGAACAACGACAACCATTTATGAATTAGTGAATTATATCCTCATTCTCTAAGAATGTTGACATTTTTTTGCCTCGAAGAAAATGACTGTATTTGCTAAGTTTGGATGGCTGGTGTGAAGTGCAACACTTAGGAAAGTCAGTGTAGATTAATAGTTTTCTAGTTTTCTAGAGCTAATATATAACTAGTTTTCTAGAGCTAATATTCATTCTAAAATTAAGAGTAATAGTGGGTCCCAGGGATGTAAACTTGATCCATGATCATAAGAGTTTTTATATTTAAATTTAAAAGATTTGTATTCCTTTCTGTGCTTCCTTTGGATTATTATAACATGAATATGACCGCCCTAATTATATGCTACATGATGACAGAAGCAATTCAGAAAAACATGCTGATTTGCATGGGAAAATCATCCAAGTGTTGGAACCTTTTTGAAGACAATCCATCCAGCAAGAAGTTTACATTTCTTTTATAAAGAACTGGTTGTATTTGCAGCTACACAAAGGCCAAACTTTTATAATGGATTTGGAAAAATCAAAACTAAGTTTGTCTAATTATTATAAATTTAAATATTCAATGTGAAAAGGCAAAATCTTACTTGGGAATTAAACAGCAATAAAGTAAAGCAGACTTCAAAGAAATGTGTTTAAAAACTAAAACTGAAAATGAAATTTGATGATGTGATCCTAATGTCTCATCAGGGACAAAAGATACCACATAGTCCAAAGTCCTTGTAACCAAAGTCCATGCCCGAAAAGCTTAATTTAATTAAGGTCTAGACAGAGTCACTTTTATTTCAGGTAGATCTGATTCAAATTCAGTACAATATAAGGTGATTTAAACATAGTAGTTCTTCAGGAATGTTTAGATTAGGAATGTTGTAGTTTACTGAATTACTCCCCAAAGCAACTTTCACACACTGTTTCAGGGTTCCACGTAGCTAAAACAACTCCTTGGCACTGTATTTTACTTCCACTTTATTTTCAAAATTCTTGGTATAGAGCAGAGGCAGTAGTATTGAACTTGACTGAGCAGAATAATCTGTGTTACAAACAAGGCTGGATGACAATGTCTCTCACGCAAACTCTCCTACATACACTCCACAAGGTCTGCAATACGCCGTTCTTCTTGTTTGACCTAAGGGCCCTGGGAGAGATGACGGCCCACAGTTAACTGCACACTCCCCAAGAAGACAAAAATTTCATAGGAAAGTTAGCTCTCTGAGGTACAATGAGTCCAGCTCCAAGAGAGCTCAGGACAGCTACTACACTGCTTCTCACATAGATAGCCCTGATCCACGGTAATTTAGAAAGAGTGATTCCAATGTATGCAAACTTTTTTTATTTTTTATTTTTTATTTTTTTGCAAACTCTTTTTAAAGTAATCTCTATGCCCAATATGGGGCTCGGATTCACAACTCTTGAGATCAAGAGTCACATGCTCCACTGACTGAGTGGGCTGGGTGCCCCTTACACAAACTTTTGATACTGTTGATAAGCCTTTGTCTTAAGTGAGAATTTAAAATGGAGAGAAAATGAAAATACAAGAAGGACCCCAAATGTGGGCCCTCAATAACACTAACTTTAGTTACACACCAGATGGCTCTGTGTTCCTCTATAAGGCCCCTGCATTAAGGCAAGTAACACCACGAGATCTGTTAGATCAGCATAGTCGACAGCAGTTCATAACAAAGGAACTCATCTCCTGGGGTATTTACAAGGATTATTTTTGTTTTCATTTAATACCCCCAATTCTTCTGTTTTATCAAGGAAGAAAAAGAGCAATTAGCTGTCATCAGACCCTTCCCAACAGGAATTTAATGTCCTCTCTACTGAGAGTTTTTGTTTTTCATACCTCAGCCTCTGCCTCTTTCTGCATTGGCTTGACTCTCAAGCTTTCTTCTCTTTTCATGGAACATAGGAGGTGGTTTACCATCTCCCTACTACAGAAGTCTTAGTCCAAATTAATCCTACTATTAATATTAGTATTGTACTTAATCTTTATTTTTTATTTATTAAACATTTTTTGTATATTTTTTATTGTAGTTCAACTGGCCAACACATAACACCCAGTGGCTCATCCTGTCAAGTGCCCCCCTCGGTGCCCATTACCCAGTCACCCCAACCTCCTGCCCACCTCCCCTTCCACTATCCACGTTTCCCAGGGTTAGGAGTCTCTCATGTTCCATCACCCTCTTTGATATTTCCCACTCATTTTCTCTCCTTTCCCCTTTAATCCCTTTCAGTATTTCTTATATTCCCCATATGAGTGAAACCATATAATGATTGTCCTTCTCTGATTGACTTACTTCACTCAGCATAATACCCTCCAGTTCCATCTACGTCGAAGCAAATGGTGGGTATTTGTCGTTTCTAATGGCTGAGGAATATTCCACTGTATACTAATGGCTCAGGAATATTCCACTGTATACATAGATCACATCTTCTTTATCCATTCATCTGTCGATGGACACCGAGGCTCCTTCCACAGTTTGGCTATTGTGGACATTGCTGCTATAAACATTGGGGTGCTGGTGTACTTAATCTTTAATGAGTGCTTTTACTTCCCACAAGCTGCGTTGACATCACCTACTCCCAAACTCGTGAAGGGATCAGGCTCAGGTGAAGCAATTGTTCATGTTTTCCTGCTTCAGAGTCAGGACTTTTTTCATTAAGCATCACAACTGCAAACATCACAGATCCTAAGGCTAAGAATGGATCTTTCCAGACCCATTCTGCCATTTAACATTGGGTAGATGCACAGATGAAGATCCTTACTTTTGAATCTTTGCAAATGGATTAAGAGGAGACCAAGATGTTAGTGTGTAAGATCCCAAAAGATCAAAAATGTTCCTCTGTGGCCCTCATAATCTTGCCTGTCCTTGTCCCTGGGAGGGGCTCCTCCTTACCCCTTCTTGCTCATGACTTTATCTCCTAACTTCTTCCCCATCCATCTTGATAAACCCAGACTGCTGTGAGAAAATAATGGTTGCTAATCTGTGAAAAGAATTTTTGACCAGTTGTTCTTGGCGGACCATTCCTGCTAAAGCCCTATAAAATTTCCCTCCTTCTTCCTCAGACCACTCCTTTGAGAAAGCCATCCCAGCATTGTAGGATACAGGCTTAATTCAAGAGTGTTGTTCATTTATAGTCACAGATTGTTCAACAGCCACAGGAGTGGGAGTGAGACAGCGGAAGGTGATAATTTGAAGGCAGACTGACGTGGGTTTGAACCCGAGTCTGTCAATTAAGTGATCTTGGCCATCTATAAAATTGAATAATAACACTGATTCCATGGAGTTATTATAGGGAGAAATGAGAAATTGTAAATACCTATTATGGTACTTGTCACATGGTACGCAATAAACAAATACTAGTTCCTTCTTGGAAGAGTAATTCTAAGACAAACACCAGGACTCTCCAGGGCATTGCTGGTGTCTTTATGTGAGAGATGCAACCAAGAGTCAGTTTATTTCCCCATCAACTATTGTACTGGGAACAAGTGCTTGACTATTGCCATTTGACAACTCCCTGAAGATAGAGACTATATTTGATCCTGTTGTAACTTCAGGCCTAGCAGAGTGCTGCCACCCAACTAGTATTTGTAAATGCTTGAATGATGATCATCGCCACCACCATATACTGTATGCCAAACATAGAGGTAGGAGATTACATATAGTAGCTTACTTAATCATGAGGACAGTCCTGTGTAACAGGTATTAGTGACCTCATTTTAGAGAAGAGCACAAACCCATCCAAGGTCACAGAGCTAGTGGGAGGGAGAACTGAGTTTTGAATCCAAGTCTGTTGGCCTTTAAAGTGCTCTGCATCACTTGCCATCAGGGAAATACATATCAAAACCACAATGAGATACCACCTCACACCAGTGAGAATGGGGAAAATTAACAAGGCAGGAAACCACAAATGTTGGAGAGGATGCGGAGAAAGGGGAACCCTCCTGCACTGTTGGTGGGAATGTGAACTGGTGCAGCCACTCTGGAAAACTGTGTGGAGGTTCCTCAAAGAGTTAAAAATAGACCTGCCCTACGACCCAGCAATTGCACTGTTGGGGATTTACCCCAAAGATACAGATGCAGTGAAACGCCGGGACACCTGCACCCCGATGTTTCTAGCAGCCATGTCCACAATAGCCAAACTGTGGAAGGAGCCTTGGTGCCCATTGAAAGATGAATGGATAAAGAAGATGTGGTCTATGTATACAATGGAATATTCCTCAGCCATTAGAAATGACAAATACCCACCATTTGCTTTGACGTGGATGGAAATGGAGGGTAGTGTGCTGAGTGAAATAAGTCAATCAGAGAAGGACAAACATATGGTCTCATTCATTTGGGGAATATAAAAAATAGTGAAAGGGAATAAAGGGGAAAGAAGAAAAAATGAGTGGGAAATATCAGAAAGGGAGACAGAACATGAGAGACTCCTAACTCTGGGAAACGAACTAGGGGTGGTGGAAGGGGAGGTGGGTAGGGTGATGGGGGTGACTGGGTGACGGGCACTGAGGTGAACACTTGATGGGATGAGCACTGGGTGTTATTCTGTATGTTGGCAAATTGAACGCCAATAAAAAATAAATTTATAAAAAAAATAAAGTTCTTTTTACTTAAACCATACTACTTGACCCAAAATGGACATAATTTGACCCAACTTATTTATCACTTCAATCTTAAAATGTTAAATTATGTCAAACCCTGTGATAAACCTATGAGAATCACTCTCTGTTCAGCTTTTCA